TCCCACAGTGATATCAGTGGAGATCACATGGGCGTCAGAACCCTCCTTCTACGTAGTAACAGGTAACAAGGAGCACACCCCCAAACCACAGCTCAGGTGTCAATGGAGGCTGACTAGGGAACCTGGATTTCTAGCTACATCCGGTAGTAAAGGAAGCAGTGCCTCCCCTTCTCTTGACAGAATGCCTAAAAAAACCTAACTAAAACAGAAAGTTCAAATAAGATCCACAAAGAGAAAGAGGGTAACAATCTGTTTTGTAGAATAAGATGTTGTCCAATTTTAAAAAACGGAGAAGATAAATAGATTTAAAATAAGAACAAGAGGACAAGCACAGTGGTTCACACCTGTAATTCCAGCATTTTGGGAGGCCGAAGCAGGCAGTTCACCTGAGGTCAGGAGTTCGAGACCAGCCTGGCCAATGTGGTGAAATCCCATCTATACCAAAAATACAAAAATTAGCCAGGTGTAGTGGCAGGTGCCTGTAATCCCAGCTACTTGGGAGGCTAAGGAATGAGAATCACTTGAACCCAGGAGGCGGATGTTGCAGTGAGCCGAGATTGTGCCACTGCACTCCAGCCTGGGTGACAGAGCAAGACTCCATCTCAATAAATAAATAAATAAAATAAGCACATGAAAAGATACACAATATCATTAATCACTTGGGAAATGCAAATCAAAACCACAATGAGATACCACTTCGCACCCACTGGGATGGCTATTAACAACAACAACAAAAAAGATAAAAGAAAATAAGCATTGGGGAAAATGCAGAGAAACTGGAATGCTTGTGTATTGCTGGTGGGAATGTAATATGATACAGCCGCTATGGAAAACAGTATGGCAGTTCCTCAAGAAATTAAACACATAATTACCATAAGATCTAGCAATTTCAGTTCTGGGTATGTACACAAAAGAATTGAAAGCAGGGACTCACATAGATATTTGTATACAATATCTGTAATAGCTAAAAGGTAGAAACAACCCAAATGTCCATTGACAGGTGAATGGATAAACAAAATGTAGCATATCCTTATAATGGAATATTATTATGCCATAAAAAGATTGGAATTCTGACACGTTGCAACATGCATAAACCTTGAAGACACTATGCTAAGTGAAATAAGCCAGAAAGAAAAAGACAAATATTAGGTAATTCCACTTAAATCAAGTACCTAGAAAAGAGAAATTCATAGAGGCAGAAAGTAGACTGGTTAAGGTAAGCAGCTTTGGGAGAGGGGAAGAATGAGGGTTATCACTTAGTGAGTACAGGGTTTCAATTTGATAAAATGAAAAATTCTGGAGATGAATGATGGTAGTGCTTGTACAACAATGTGAATGCACTTAATGTAACTGAACTGTACACATAAAAATCATTAAAATAGGCCAGGTATGGTAGCTCACACCTGTAATCCCAACACTTTGGGAGGCCAAGGCAGGCAGATCGCTTGAGCCCAGGAGTTCAAGGCCAGCCTGGGAAACATAGTGAAACTCTGCCTCTACAGAAAATACAAAAATTAGCCAGGCATGGTAGAATGTGCCTGCAGTTCCAGCTACTCAGGAGGCTGAGGCAGGAGGATCACCTGAGCCTGCGGAGGTTGAAGCTTTAGTAAGCCATGATTGTACCACTGCACTCCAGCCTGGGCAACAGAGTGAGACCCTGTATCAAAATGTAAACAAACAAATCATTAAAATAGTAATTTTTGTTATGTATATTTTACCACAATATAAAATTTGGTTAAAACAGTAAGATTCAAAGTCTCATGACAAATTATGAAAATGTCAGTTTCCATTGGAAATCACTTATACCAAAAATCAGGAAGATCTCAAACTAAATGTAAAGAAATGGCAACATAAAGATGACAGAGATGTTAGAATTATCTGATAAAGGAAGATTTTAAAGCAGTCATGGTAACAATGTTTCAAGAGACGGTTAAAAATACACTTGAATAGAAGGAGCAATGCTGCTTAATAATATTTAAAAGTTCCATTCAGAAGCAGTATTTAATTATTGTAAATCTGGACAGGCATGGTGGCTAAACCTGTACTCCCAGCACCACTTTGGGAGACTAAGGTGGGCAGATCACCTGAGGTCAGGAGTTTGAGATCAGCCTGGCCAACATGGCAAAACCCCATCTCTACTAAAAATACAAAAATTAGACTGATGTGGTAGTGTGTACCTGTAGTCCCAGCTACTCAGGAGGCTAAGGCAGGAAAATCACTTGAACCTGGGAGGCGGAGGTTGCAAGTGAGCCGATATTGCACCACTGCACTCTAGCCTGGGTGACAGAGCAAGACTCTGTCTCTAAATAAATAAATAAATAGGGCCGGGCGCAGTGGCTCAAGTCTGTAATCCCAGCACTTTGGGAGGCCGAGGCGGGTGGATCACGAGGTCAAGAGATCGAGACCATCCTGGTCAATATGGTGAAACCCCGTCTCTATTAAAAATACAAAAAATTAGCTGGGCATGGTGGTGCGTGCCTGTAATCCCAGCTACTCAGGAGGCTGAGGCAGGAGAATTGCCTGAACCCAGGAGGCGGAGGTTGCGGTGAGCCAAGATTGCGCCATTGCACTCCAGCCTGGGTAACGTGAGTGAAACTCCGTCTCGGAAAAAAAAATAAAAAAATAAAAAAATAAATAAATAAATAAATAAATAAAATAATTATTATAAATCTGTATGCAACTTATAGCCTCCAAATATGTAAGGCAAATGATAGAATTACAAGAAAAATAGATAAATTCACAATTATAGTGAGAGATGTTTCCCATAAGTCTCTTAGTAATTGATATGAAAAAAAATGTAAGAATAAAGATTTGAACAGCATAATTAACAAACTTACACAATAATACATAACAACTGAAGAGTACTCACCATTTTAAAGAAAATTGTTTACATGTTGGGCCATAAAGCAGGCTTTACTAAGAGCTTACATAAATTTTTGTTATTTTTCAATCTCCCAAGCAACAAACCACAGGCTTCTGTGGTGAATCACAAATTTGCAATCATTTGGTTTATAGAGAGCATTTTTAAAAATAAGTTTTACTATGTACTTTTTCCTCAATGAATTTCTCTCTCATTTATAATAATTTCTTTTTATTAAACTAAAATTCTCCATTTGTTTTAAGATTGACTTCTGCTATATCTTTCTCTCAGCTGGGCCAGAATGAAGGAGTAACACTAGCATCTGAGAATAGGCAAAATGTCACTTAATATTAAACTACCTTTCCTTACAAGGGAAATTTTACATGCCCAAACAGAAAAGCTTCAGAGAAACCAGCTCTAGTGCTCATTCATTGATGTTTTGTTATATATGAAATGTCTCTTGAATAAATTAGACATTTTAGACCTTTTCTTATCTAATCTGATATTTAGTTTCCTGGGAAGTTCAATCCATGTTCAACTTCAAATTGTATATTATATACGTATCTGAGTTCATGTTCAATTTCAAATTGCATAGTATTCATCTCTGGTTTTCCTTCCCACTTGAAAAACTTTAAGAGTAGGAAAGGGAAAGAAAACTAAATTTGATCTGGCCAATTTAGTTGCCTATTAATACTGCTGTTATACATTGAAGTAGGACAAATTACTGGCCAAAGAAAACAACAACAACAAAATACTTGAAGTTAAAAAAAAAAAAGTACAGCTACAAAGTTGTTCCCTGAGAACCTCTTGTTTCTTTCTGAGATTTCTCTTTTTACATTTTGTGTATTTTATGCTATATGAAGACACTATTTTTAGCACCTATTTTTCTTAGCTTCCCTCTTTATATTTTGGTATCTATGTATACCATATTACTTTGGATTGCTAGCATGGAGAAAACATTGCAAGTCTACGTTCTCCCCAGATGCAAAACATGAATGTAAAGGGAAAAAAATTACAAACAGCATAAATCTTCCAAAAGTACTTTTCCTATATCTATAAATATCTCCGAGAAATTGAAATTCTTGGGAACCTAAAATTGGTCAAGGAAACAGATGTTTGAATTCTCCTATGTATAGCATAGGGGATAAAGTTTGGCACCAACAATAATTCCAACCAAAGTAGATGTCAAAAAGATTGTCCGATTATGCCTTTAGAATGTCTGAAGATAAAATATTTTAACCCTTCTTAAGAATTTTTAAAAAATTCAGTTTTTAAAAAATACTTTATCCTTTCTTCAAATATGTTGATGTGCATGGGGAGAAAGTATTTACCTAAAATTATGGGAATTATATTTTTGCAAATTTTGCTTTCTCTTATAGGTATTTTGTATATATTTTATATCCTCAACTACATTATAAATAATGTGCCAGCAAAAAACAGCTTAGTTCACAATTCTATTATCCATTATACCTAACGCAGCACACTGTACATAGTAGGTTCTCAATAAACCATGGCAGAATGTGAAATCATTAAATAATCATGTAAAAAATTACTTAAAATTAAGAGTAAAAAAGGAGGCTATTTTATTGTTAATCATATTGTAATGAAGACTATTTTAAACTCGATGCAGTGATGATACACACAAATATTTAAACTATTTATGTGCCTCAACTTGACATAATTTCATAACTTGATGGCAATCACATTTAAATATATTAGAATATTTTTGTAATAATGCTATTCTAGAATAGCAACTTTAATAGCTGGGAAAACATGTTAATAATGGCCATTAACCTGAAGGAAACAGGGAACATTAAACATTTTTTTTCAGAAATAAATGTATAAGTTTAAACATTCCACTAAAATATTTATGAGCAAACCTCAAATTAAAATTTATAAAATGCAAACTATTCAATGTTTCAGTTAGAGAATAATTTAGACTATATTTTGTAATTTTTCCACTGTACTCATGGATGATACTATATAAAAAGATTCTTTTCTCCTTCAGTGTCTTTGACTATTACTATCTAAATAGCAAAATAAATTCTGCTTGAATGCCAAGACCAAGGCAATCCTACTAAAGCCCTTGATTATCAGTAAATATGGTCTTAGTAAATAGAAATAAATGATTTGTTTTTACCTTCAGGACTGCTATGAATGGTACAAAGTTAGCTCTTTGGAGTCCATTTTTATAGAGATCTGAAAGAAAAAAAATGATACCAGTTTTTTACTTAGCATAAATCATGATATTAGTTTATCTTTTAGCCTGGCAAATAAAGCTTGCTACTGATTTTTAAAAAGATAAAGGAGCAAAAAGAAAAAAAGACCAAAATTGATTTTCTCTTTGGGTTCTACACACATTTTACTATAATTTTAATAAAAGAAAAAAATTAACAGTCACAGAAAGAAGATCAAAAGGCATTCAATCAAACTGGCTTTAAACTGTAATAAGAAGCAATAAAATAATCTGGAAAGTATCACTTCCAAAATTCAAAATCAATAACCTAACATGAGAAGATTCGATTTGTAAAAGCATTTAATACTTGAATATATAGGATTCTACTAGAAAAAAAATCATTCTCTCCTTTTCTCAATATATAATAAAAGTTCTCAGTAAAAAACTTGGACAGGCTTAGTGGCTCATTCCTGTAATCCTAGCATTTTGGAAGGCCAAGGCAGATGGATCACTTGAGGTCAGGAGTGTGAGATCAGCCTGGCCAACATGGTGAAACCCTGACTCTACTAAAAATACAAATCTTAGCCAGGCATGGTGATGGGCACGCATAAGTCCAACTATTCAGCGGGCTGAGGCAGGAGAATCGCTTGAACCAGGGAGGTGGAAGATGCAGTGAGCCAAGATCGCACCACTGCACTTTAGACTGGGGGACAGAGCGAGACTCTGTTTAAAAAAAGAATTAAACATTGTGAAATAAGATTATCCTTTTTAGAAAATACATCAATAGGCAGAACTGCTCATGTATTGCATTAAATATTTGTAATGCAAATATATATATTTATATATTTGATATCAAGGTTAAAAAAGTCACTTTAAATAAAATTGCCTAAAAATTAAAACTCCATTCTTTGAAGGACAAAAACCATATCATAATTTCAATTGATGCTGAAAAATTATCTGATAAAGTTCAATATCCATTCCTGATAAAAACCCTCAAAAAACTAGATATAGAAGAAACAGACTTCAACATAACAAAAGCCATATATGACAGACCCACAGCGAGTATCATACAAAATGGAGAAAAACTGAAAGCCCTTCCTCTTAGATTTGGAACATGACAAACTATGCCCAGTTTCACAATTGTTATTCAACATAGTACTAGGCGTCTGAGCTAGAGCAATCAGATGAGAAACAAATAAAGGGCTTCCAAATTAGAAAGGAATAAGTCAAATTATCCTTGTTTGCAGGTGATATGAGCTTATATTTGGAAGAACCTAAAGATTCTACCAGAGGGCTGGGTGTAGTGGCTTACATCTGTAATCTTAGCACTTTGGGAGGCGGAGCCAGGTGGATCACTTGAGTCCAGGAGTTCAGGACCAGCCTGGGCAACATGGCAAAACCCCATCTCTACAAAAAATACAAAAATTAGCCAGGTCTGGTGGCACATGTCTATAACACCAGCTACTCAGGAAGCTGAGGTGGAAGGATCACTTGAGCCTGGGAGCCAGAGGTTGCAGTGAGCCAGGACCTTGCCACTGCACTCCAGCCTGGGTAACAGAGACCTCAAAAAAAAAAAAAAAGAGAGAGAGAGAGAGAGGCACTTCACACTGCACCCCAACCTCCCCAGTAGCTGAGACTATAGACACACACCACCATGCCCAGTATTAACAAAAAAAAAAAAAAAAAGGAAAACTATTAGAACTGATAAATTCAGTAAAGTTGCAGGATACAAAATCAACATAACAAAAATCAGTAGCATTTCTATATGCCAGCGATAAAAAATATGAAAAACAAATTTAAAAAGCAATCCCATTTACAATAGCCACAAATAAAATCATATACCTAGAAATTAACTTAACCAAAGAAGTGAAAGATCTTTGCAATAGAAACTATAAAGCATTGATGAAAGAAATTAAAGAAGGCACACACACAAAAATGGAAAGATATTCCATGTTCATGGATTCGAAGGATCAATATTGTTAAAATGCTCATACTACCCAAAGCAATCTACAGATTCAATGCAATCCCCACCAAAATACCAATGCCATTTTTCACAGAAATAGAAAAAGCAATCCTAAAATTTATACAGAATCAGAAAAGATCCAAAATAGCCAAAGCTATCCTAAGGAAAAAGAACAAAATTGGAGGAATCACATTACCTGACTTCACAATATATTACAAAGCTGTAGACATCTGGCACAAAAACAGACGCATAGACCAATGGAACAAAATAGAGAACCCAGAAACAAATCCAGATACCTATAGTGAACACATTTTTGACAAAGGTGCCAAGAACATACATTGGGGAAAAGACCATCTCTTCAATAAATGGTGCTGGAAAAACTGGATATCCATATGCAGAAGACTGAGACTAGACCCCTATACTTTTTCTATAAGGTAAGAACCTTACGGAAAAATAAAATCAAAATAAATTCAAGACTTAAATCTAAGACCTCAAATCATAAAAATACTAGAAGAAAACATTGGGGAAACTCTCCAGGACATTGGTCTGAGTAAAAATTTCTTAAGTAATGCCTCACAAGCATAGACAGCCAAAGCAAAAATGAATGAATGGGATCACATCAAGTTAAAAAGCTTCTGCACAGCAAAGGAAACAACTGAAAAGGAGAGACGACCCATATAATGAGAGAAAATATTTGCAAACTACTCATCTGACAAGGGATTAATAACCAGAATATATAAGGAGCTCAAACAACTCTATAGGGAAAAAAATCTAATAAATCCAATTAAAAGATGGGCAAAATATTTGAATAAACATTTCTTAAAAGAAGGCATAGAACAGCAAAGAGGCATATGAGAAACTGCTCAATATCATTGATCACCAGAGAAATGCAAATTAAAACTACAATGAGGTATCACCTCACCCCAGTTAAAATGGCTTTTATCCAAACAGGCAATAACAAACACTGGTGAGAATGCAGAGAAAAGGGAGCCCTCAACATTCTATTGGTGGGAATGTAAATTAGTACAACCACTATGGAGATCAGTTTGGAAGTTCCTCAAAACACTTTAAAAAGACTACTACATGTATATGATCCAGCAATCACACTGCTGGGTATGTATCCAAAAGAAAAAAAAATCAGTACATCAAAGATATATCAGCATTCTCATGTTTGTTGCAGCACGGTTCACAACCACCAAGATTTTGAAGCAACCTAAGTGTCCATCAACAGATGAACAGATAAGAAAATGTGTTACTTATAAAAAAGAATGGAGCTTGAAACAACACGATTGGTACTGGAGATCATTGTATTAAGTGAAATTAGCTAGGCACAGAAAGACAAACATCGCATGTTCTCACTTACTTGTAGGATCTGAAAGTCAAAACAATTAAACTCACAGAGATAGAGAATAGAAGGATGGTTACCAGAGGCTGGGAAGGGTAGTGAGGGGTGGGAAAGGTGGGGCTGGATAATGGGTGCAAAAAAAAAAAAAGAAAAAAGAAAAAGGCTCATGCCTGTAATCCCAGCACTTTGAGAGGCCAAGGTGGGCAGATCACTTGAAGTCAGGGGTTCAAGACTAGACTGGACAACATGGCGAAACCCAGTCTCTACTAAAAATACAAAAATCAGCCAGGTATGGTGGCACACACCTATTATCTCAGCTGCTTGGGAGGCTGAGGCAGGAGAGTTGCTCAAACCTAGGAGGCAGAGATTGCAAAAAAAAATTAGCCAGGCATACTGGTATGCATCTGTAATCCCAACTACTTGGGAGGCTGAGGTGGGAGAATTGCTTGAACCTGGGAGGCAGAGGTTGCAGTGAGACAAGACCACACCACAGCCCTCCAGCCTGGACAACAAAGCAAGACTTAGTCTCAAGAAAAAAAAAAGAATGAATAAATTAAAAAGACCTAGTATTTGATAGCACAGCAGAATGATTATACTTCAATAATAATTTAATTGTACATTTCAAATAACTAATAGAGTACAATGGACTGTTTGTAATACAAAGTATAAATGCTTAAGGGTATGGTATATCCAATTTTCCATGATGTGAATATTATCAAATAATCTCATACCTGTACCAAAATATCTCATGTACCTCATAAAGATATGTACCTACTAGGAGCCAGGTGCGGTGGCTCAAATCCAATAATACCAGCACTTTGGGAGGCCGAGGTGGGTGGATCACACTTAAGATCAGGAGTTCAAGACCAGCCCGGCCAACATGGTGAAACCTCGTCTCAACTAAAAATACAAAATTTAGCCAGGTATGGTGGCACACGCCTGTAATCTCAGTTACTTGGGAGACTGAGGCAGGAGAATCACTTGAACCTGAGAGGCGGAGGTTGCAGTGAGCTGAGATTGTGCTACTGCATTCCATCCTGGGTGACAAAGCAAGACTCCATCTCAAAAAAAAAAAAGTATGGCATTATGGGATCTTTTCCATATTTCCTTGTTTAGAGAAAATTTGGTAACTATGATAAACTTCAAATGCCACATATACTTATGGAAATAAAATAAGATCATACATTTACTCTCTTTAGAAAAGATTCATCATAACACCATTATATTTGCATAAGCTCTTTGAGTAATTAAAGACTACGGGTTTCAACTTGGTTGCATTTAAAAATTTTATTTAGAAATGTCATAAAAGGTAAAATAATGCTGGTCAGTCTATTTCTATTTCAAGATTCAAAATGACATCTTTTCTTCCCTATAATCAAGACCTCTAATGAGTAAAAGGATTAAAATGCAGGAAATTGGTCTAATGTTATATATTTTCAGTCTTCCCTAATTGTCAAGTTGCTGAGGAAGGTACATAAAAACATTGGCGTATGATAAGTGTTGATAGACATGATTGTGGGAAGTGGTAAAAATGGAAAATCAGACAATTTTTAAAACATACTCAATGTTTATAGCAGCTTTATTCATAAATAAGATAAAAACTTCAGCTTTATTTGGGATAGCCAAACGCTGGAAGAAATCTAAATATCCATCATCGGAGGAATGGATAAACAAATTGTGCCATATCTGTGCAATGAAATACTATTCAGCAATGA